AAAATATAGTTTTTTGTACTATATTTTTATGGGATTGAAAATTTCAGATATAGAGCATATATATATATATATATATATATATATATATATATATATATATATATATATATATATAATTGGTAACAGAAGCCATTGGTTTATACCAACGACTTCCCATACTTAATACTTCTCGAATTCACTCTCGATGTGTGACGTCATGAGCTGCGGTGCGATTTTCGCTTCCAGCGTCTTATATGCACGTGTTTATCGTTGCTTGGAAATCATCCATGTAAACACTAACAGACTATCATCACTGTCTTGTCCATGCATTGCTTAATATATTGTACAGTAATTGTCATCTTTGATAATGGCTTATGTAAGCCGAAAGCTTAGATTGGATTAAAAAATATGGATCAATATTGTGATTTTCTTTTCTTCATTTAATGATAATGTTATTAAGCTTATCAGACGTTATGAAAAGAATTTACATAAAATAAATAGACAACACTTGTCTATATTATTTAATGAAACATGTCTGAATATATATATATATATATATATTCAGACATATATATATATATATATATATATATATATATATATATATATATATATTCAGACATATATATATATTCAGACACACACACACACACACACACACACACACACACACACACACACACACATATATATATATATATATATATATATATATAAAGAAAAATTATTATCGCCTTAAATAGAACTTATGTAAACATCTTAACACTAAAATGGATGAAAATCATTTTTAGAAACGTTTCAAAAGTGGTGGGCGATCAAATATTTTTAAAGTTTTGTTGTCCCATTTAGCCCCTTAATATGCATTTTATAGTTCCTGTTGAAAAAAAAAAGTAATTGCTTCCCCAACGATTTTTCCTCTGAGGTAAGGTTGGCCGAAAGGATCCTATGATATTTTCAGTACTTTTTTTTGGTGTTAAGATATTTACATCAGTTCTGTTTAAGACGATATGTGTGTGTAGCAATATGAATTCTTACACATCCTTAAGAGATAAATAGATAAATTATTTTTTCGTTTGAAGCCAATTTAATTACCAGAATTTTTAGGAATCTTGTCTCCAGTCCATCTTTTAAGTCACCTTAATGTCCAGTGTTTTCAGGAACCCTGTCTCCAGACCGCCTTTGAATTGGCAAACATAGCATTTTGTTAGTGATTTTAGATAATAATAATAATAATAATAATAATAATAATAATAATAATAATAATAATAAAAGTAGAGTCCTTGAGAAACTGACCGCTCAAATTTTCTGAATAGGTGGTTTCCTTTTCCGGAATACAAGTAGACGGATAGGGGTGGTGGGACCTCAGCCATCGTCCATATGATGAATAGTTAGCCAGGAACAGTCAATGTGGAATGTTTCTGCCGTGGGAACAAAGATGATTTTGCAAGTCAGCATATGATTTGACATTAAATGCACACACAGTTTACATTACTTTTAGATGTTTGTTAACTTCAAGCAATCTCTCTCCGGGTCATTTTGTCTATGGGGCTGCTTCATATGGAGATTGGGGAAAAAGAACCTAACGATATATTGAACAGATTTGTCCAGGAACAAAATTCTGGGTTCAGGAATTTTCCTCATTGACTTTATTATCGATAGGGCGGCCTTTAAGCTAGTTTACATACCTTTTCTCATTTTCTCTTAGCTTTATTCTCCTTAATCGTTTATGGAGAAAACTCTTATTAATTGACTAACAACAGAGAGAGAGGGGTGGTCTATGGGGGAGAGGAGAGAAAAAAGAGAGGAGAATCAAGAGGGAAGAGGAAGAGAGAAGTGAAAGAGAGGGGAGAGGAGGAGAAAAAGAGGGGAGAAAAGAGAAGGAGAAAGAAATTAGGAGAGAGAGAGGAAGAGAAAGAGAAGAAGAGAGGGTCGAGGGGAGAGAGAAAGTTTTTTTGGGAGAGAGGAGAGGAGAGAGGGGAGATAGAGAGAGAGAAGAGAGGAGAGAAAGAGAGGGATAGGGAGAGAGAGAGGAGAGAGAGGGAGAGAGGGAGGAGAGAGGGGAGAGAAAACGAATTTCGAAATAGAGGGAGAGAGAGAGAGGAGAGAGAGAGAGAGGGAGAGAGAGAGATATTAGAGGAGAGAGAGTTTCGAGAGGGAAGATAGGGAGAGAAAGAGAGGAGAAGAGAGAGAGAGAGAGAAGAGAGAGAGAGGAGAGGAGAAGGAGGATGAGGAGAATGAGAGAGAGAGAGAGAGAGAGAGAGAGAGAGAGAGAGAGAGAGAGAGAGAGAGGAGAGAGAAATAGATAAGAGAGAATTTTTTTGATATTATCCAGGGGTAAAATTTTACAACATTTATTGAACAGACGCTTATCCTTTTGTCCGCTTTTAAATGGAAGGAAAGGAAACGAATGAAAAAAAATTGTCAATTGTAAAACGGCACGGGAAAAAGAAAAAAAAACAAAAAACAAAACGAGTGGGTTAAAATTGGGTGCGAACAAAAAAACATGCAAAAAAAAAAACATGCAAAAAAAAAACAAACCCCAAAAAAACCCCAAAAACCAAAGTAGCATTGAACGATTGGCATGAAGCCAGACTAGTCAAATGAGTACAACTTGCAGTTAACTGCATTAATCGACTTCAGGGAGCTGGAAAAAAATATTTCCTCGTCCTTTCTTTCCATCTCTTTCACACACACACACACACACACATATACATACACATACAAAAAACACAAACGAAAATGTGTATACACAAAACCACATACATCTATCTATCTATCTATCTATTTGTTCATTATATTCATATTTATGTCAGTTCAAAAAAATTCATTATGTTCATATATATTCTCAATCTTTTCATATAAATCTATCTCAGTATGTATCTCACCCGGCCTTTTGGCTGGGGTTTTCTGATTTTTTTAATGGATCGTTTTCTTGGCCTATGGCTGAGATTCGATTAAGATATTGACTAACTTGGACTGGCTCCGGCCTGAAATGTTAGGACAAAATAGTCATGACCAGCATTGACTAATATAAAAATTACCAGCTTGGACAAGCTATGACCAATTTTGACCATTAGCAATTTTTTGAGGGAAACACTCAGGGTCTCCAAATTAAACGACCTTGTGTCACATCTTGATTATGTGGGAATCAAAAAATACTATCTCAGTATGTTCAATTCTCTATCTCAATAACATCACTATCTATCTATCTATCTAATATCTATCATAAATCTATATTATCTCAGGTATATTCATATCTATCTATCTATCTATAAATCTATCTATCTTAGTCTGTTCAAATTTATCTATCTACTTATGTATATATGCATTTATTTATCTGCCTATTTATGGAGGATGTCAGTTTGCACGTACAAGGTGATCGACCCGCACATAAGCCCAAAAAACATTTAAAGATGTAGTTTAACTGTAACTTAAACCCTTTTGGCATTAATGTTGAAGACTTAGAAACGGTTGCGGAAGATGGCTCTGGCTGGAGATTGTTGATCTGCGGTCGGAAACAAAAATTCGGAGCAAAAGAGAATTGAGCATTCGAAAAAAAAAAGTGTGTCATTCCGAACCAAGAAAGAGAATCTCTCCCGGAGCTATCCTATCCGCTATTGACATACGTGACCCTATTTAATTAAAACTATATAGTCATCTTGACGTGGTATAATGATTAGCATGCTGGTTTCGCTTGAACAATTACTCCTGAGTAGAGAGTTCGATTCTGACAGGCTACGCCATACAATCGGCCTTGTGCCACATCTAAGCGTAGATTTAGACGGATATAATTTCGTTCAATAAAAGTGATCAAGAGTTGTAGATTTTTGTCTGGGGTTCTGACAAGTGAGTCGACCTCCGATGAGGTATTGTGATCTTATCTTAATCCATATCTGGATGGGTGGCCACTCGTATCTGAGGATGCTCATCTGCTAGGACGACTAGCTAATCCTTGTGGCAGACGCCTGCTCAGGCAAAATTGTGTTTGTTTAACGCCCACAGAGGTTCATACGCAACTATGCTGAGCGGACCTTAGTTACTGGGAAAGAGAGCGTTATCTATGGTGATCAACTATCTGAACAAAGCCGGCAATAGAGTAAATAAAAATATCCAAAATAAAAAAATAAGCATATAAATATGAAAAAATAAGTAAAAATTAATCCAAATAGATAAATTAAGTAACAAATCGCCCCCGTTAAAATAACCGTTCGAACAAAAAAATAAACATAAGCAAGCAAAAACAAGTAAAAATAATCAATCCAAATAAATAACTAAAGAAAATAATAAAGAAATAAAAATCTGTCAAAAATAGCAGAATATACTACTGCAATCAATCCAAAAATTGGACGAATAAATAGCTTTATATTCTCAGACTAAAACAAACAATTAAGTAAGCGACCTAAACAAATCCACCCCAAAATTTCTTTACTACGTTAATAAAACATCGAAAACCGAAAAGAATAAATAAATACATAAAATGAAAAATGAAAATGAAAAAGTAAAATAAATGAACCCAAATATATAAATAAATAAATAAACAAGACAGAATGGATTACCCACAATGCACCACTGACTTATATATATATAAATAGTCGATAAAAAATCCAACACTCGCGGACTGACGATTGCGTCAAGCATGAAACATCCTGGTAAACATCTGGGAAAGTAATGATAGCTATTTTCTTTCTCCAAGCAAAGTTTCCAAGTTTTTGATTGGTTGTTGTAGGCTGATGATCTTTTTCTTATTTTCCAAGATATTTTTGGTGTGATGTATGTTTTGTTTTTAATTTCCCATATATAAATTAGAAAAGCCTTGTGAAAGAAAAAAACTGTGTAAATTTCTTTGTCTCCAAATAGTTCTAGTTACTCCTATGTATACTTTTCTTCATTATCTGTTGATTTTATCGTGAACTTGATATTTAATATTTATATATATATATATATATATATATATATATATATATATATATATATATAATATATGCGAATCTCAGTGTGCCAATGTCTCACCTTTTTCAATT